TACTTCCTCCAACAGGAACAACGAAGGGAAGGGCAAGAAAACACACGAATATGTCGAAGGCCTTTTCAATATTGCTTTCGTCAGGGCATCAATAGTGAAAAGGCCTTCGACATATTCGTGTGTTTTCTTGCCCTTCCCTTCGTTGTTTCCTGTTGCAATTTGTTCAACATGAATTCCACACTTTCCTCCAAGAAGAAATGAATGATTATTGTTGATGATGATGATGACAGACACGGACACAAACGTGGAGGACAAGGACAAGGACACAGATATGGACATGGACAAGGACACAGACGTGGACACAGATATGGACATGGACAAGGACACAGACGTGGACAAGGACACGGACATGGACACAAGGACAGATATGGACATGGACAAGGACAAGGACACAGACATGACAAGGACACATGGACAAGGACACATATATGGACATGGACAAGGACACAGACGTGGACAAGGACACGGACATGGACAAGGACACAGATATGGACATGGACAAGGACAAGGACACAGACATGGACAAGGACACATATATGGACAAGGACACATATATGGACATGGACAAGGACACAGACATGGACATGGACATGAACATGGACAAGGACATGGACAAGGACACAGATATGGACAAGGACACAGATATGGACAAGGACACAGATATGGACAAGGACACAGATATGGACATGGACAAGGACACAGATATGGACAAGAACACAGATATGGACATGGACAAGGACACAGACATGGACAAGGACACAGACATGGACAAGGACAAGGACACAGACATGGACATGGACAAGGACACAGACATGGACATGGACAAGGACAAGGACACAGACATGGACAAGGACACAGCCATGGACAAGGACAAGGACACAGATATGGACAAGGACACAGACATGGACAAGGACAAGGACACAGACATGGACATGGACAAGGACACAGACATGGACATGGACAAGGACATAGACACATAGACATGGACAAAGACATAGACACATACATAGACATGGACAAGGACACAGACAAGGATACAGACATGGACACTGACACAGACATGGACGTGGACAGAGACATGGACTCATGATGTGGGCATTCCTTAATATCTATGTTGTCAATAATGTATCACCCCCCCCCCCCATAATCCACCAAAACTAATAGACTTGATTTTCGAAGTAACATGGAATGGGATACCAAGCAGTAGATGCCTATTTTACATCAGAACGAAGAAACTTGAAGTTCTTAGTCAAACGAAATATGATTTCAGGCATTAAATATACATGTGACAGACAGACGGGCCGACCACAAGCAGTACAGTATAATGACATAGACTGTGTGTGAGTTCTGTTTAACTGTCTATGTTCATTTGCCTTTCTGTGCCTGTGTTTGCCTCTAATAATGATAAGAAAATGTCAATAACTAAAAGAAATAATAATGGTTACGATGACGACGACGATGACAGTAATAATCATAGTTTCAAAAAGCGCAAGTAATACAGGAATTACAAGCACAATAAACTAATAAAAAATAACAACTTACGTCAGATTCGAATTGATGGAAATGAGCGTCTAGAATCGTGATAAGAAAACTCCCTGTAGATTTCCTGCTCGAAGACCCTTTGGCCCGTCGCGAAGTCGTAAACCTGGAAGATGATGACCAGAAAAACGTTTAAGTCTTAAAATAATGGAGCGAATTCCAATTTGTTCTCCAAATCTGAACAAATTATTCCATAAGAAAGAGAATTTTTAAGTTTTAAAAGCAATTTCTTCTCGAAATCATTAAAAAAATCAATGAAGTTCCGAACGTTTTAAAAAGTTCCATTCATTCTCAAAATCTGAAATAATTGTTACTCAAGGTAGATAATAAATGGATAATATGGAAAGGCAATTTCTGAGAAGGGAAAGTAGAAGAGGGACGTATTGTTGAATAAAATACACATCTAAAAGGGAGAATGACTGACGACTATTGAAGAAACGAACTCGCCTGGATGAAAAAGGACTTGCGGATGTTGTCTTTGGTAAAGGTGGCCACCCCGCAGTGGATCTTGTACCAGCTGCTATGGTGCGGTGGCTCCGTCCGTACATCTGCACCACAGCCGTTGCTTGTGCCTGTGTGGAGGAATGCAATCCAATCAGTTCTTAACACAATATGTTTAAGGAAATTAAGCAATGCAAACCAGTGCTTAAGGAAATTATACAATGCAAATCTGTGCTTAAGGAAATTATTGCAATGCAAATCAGTTCTTAACACAATTTTCTTATGCTAGAATCTTCACGTTTGTAGGAAGTCTTAACCTAACTTTCGGACTCTCAGTTTCAAAAATACAATGTTCTAATCCTCTTACGTTATTTTGATATATCAGTTGATTTCTAGCGGTATTATTCCTTAGTAGGGGATTTTGTGCTTCAAAGAGTGTATTCCATAATTTTTTGAAGCATACAATCGTTAAAATCACCGAGGAACGAATGAAGCCGTTTTTTTTTTTACGGGAAGGCATCGGCTGATATTTGTTGATATCTAAAAGCTGATTTTGGCAAACAGTAGTGCAGTATAATAGTCATTCATTTTGAAGTTCAGTATGGATAGAATGCCGAATCACAGACTCGGGTAATTATCTATACGAGCCCCTGCTTGTATCAATACCCAATTAATACATGAATAACTATCCAAGTCTCAATTAACACCTGATAACGGTGGTACTTTAAAAAATTTCTTATGATAGCTCACAGCCGAATTGTTCAGAACCACTTTATAGAGCCAATAACCTTAAATATTGCCTCACAATCCAGCCTTTCGACTCTTTATACCTTCACCCCCCCCCCCCACGGGCCGCCCTTCGCTCACCAGACACCGCAGGTCGAGCATCTTGAAGACCGCCTGATTCTCCTCCTCGCTGAGTTTGTTCGACGGCTTGTGGGGCGTCGGCCTCGTCTGGCCCGCCATGGTGACACCTTGGTCCTTCCGGAGGGCTTCTTTGGCCTTGTCCTTACCGCTCCTCTTGATGCGAATTTTCTTCGACCATTTGTGGCACTCCTCGCTACACTCAGGGGGCTGACTCGTTCTGCGAAGAGTGAGATAACAGTGAAAGTGATAAGGCTATTGGGCCTTCGTGCAAATGTGGAGATATCGGAGGATTCACATGGGTCTAAGATCTATTACATTTTTTTATCCGCATTCCATGTAACAACAAGAATAGTTTGACCTAAGTGTCACGCAACCAAATTGTTCTCATACCACAATGCGGCCTTACCTTCCATTACTTTAGTGCCCCCTTCAGACAGATCACGTCCTAATTTTCTTTCTTTACAATAATTGAGCTATAACTAAAATAAAAATGTCTAAATTTTTCACTCATCCTTAAACAACCATAAATAAATACACGATAAAAAAATATTTCGTGACATGTTTAAGAACACGAAATGTAAGGAAAAAACGCTAAAAGGATTTTAAATGTTACTAATATAATGACCTACCTCACTTTCATACAGATTCATACTGCTTAACACATACTTCATACGAGTTATTATTGTGAAACTCGCATATCCATGCACAGCAATAATCATATGATATCAACAGATACACGTGATGAGTTGATTCACCATCTTTTTCATGTGCTGCTTAACTCTGCAGCCATGAAAAATATAAATCATATGATATTTGCAAGAAACAACGAATACTTACATTATTCATACTGTATACTTTCTTCATCAAAATACTTCTGACTAAATTAATGCAATCCCTACATATACACTTCCATAATATACAAAATAGAAAGCACAATAGAAATATTTGTAAAAGCCATCCCAAACTGATTCCCACTGACTATAACTTCCCAAATTTGCCTGATAACAGTTTTTCCTTTTCTTTTTTTTATAGCCAGAACTCACTAACCTACCTTATACTCACTTACCTATGAACTAATACCAAGGGGACTACGAAAAGACACCCACTTTATCTATGGGATTTATGTCGCTCCCTCCAGGCACTTTGGTAAAATGAATGTTCTTGCCTCTACTGAAGCTATCAGTACCAACCACACCAAACTTTATCTTCGGGTCGATAAGAGTCCCAGTTGCCAATTGTCAATTCTGTATAATTTACAGCAACCTGATGTGTATATATATATATATATATATATATATATATATATATATATATATATATATATATGTGTGTGTGTGTGTGTGTGTGTGTGTGTGTGTGTGTGTGTGTGTGTGTGTGTGTGTGTGTGTGTGTGTGTATGTGTGTGTGTTCATGATAGGTAGATAGACTGATCCTGTCGTTTCCTTAAAATGTAGAACAACAATCTAGAGAACGTTTTTCGAAATTCAGTAAAAAAAAAAAAAAAAAAAAAAAAAAAAAAAAAATATTATATATATATTATATATATATATATATATATATATATGTGTGTGTGTGTGTGTGTGTGTGTGTGTGTGTGTGTGTGTGTGTGTGTGTGTAGTGTATATTATCACTTAATTTGCTGGCTGTAGAAAAAATATGTTGTAACTTACCTTTCATTGTAGCTAATCAAGCGTCACGTGCCCATTCGTGATCTCAATTTTAAAACGACTAAGTTAACTAATTTCCGTGTTCCTATTGGAATCATGTATTATCAATGGTAATTGTCACCAATAGCTACGCATCCCCCCCCCCCCACAGAGACCAAGTCGATAAAATTATGTTTTCCTGCAGAAAATCCAATGATTTCATCGATTCTCGGCATTGTTCCTTCTGCGAATGAATCATTCAGTAGATCGAGTACCATTTCTCTATCGACGATCTTGATATGATAGTCCCGTTAGCAGGGGAGGGCATGAAGTATATCAGGGAAATTATGGGGTAAAAATGGCTTAAATAAGAATAACGATAAAAAAATACATAAAAATAGAAAAAAATCGGCTAATGAAGCTCTACAGACATTACCACCATTTTTGAAATTCTATTTTGCAGCACCAGGATTGTAGGCGGGTTCATGACTGGGCTAGCACTACGCAAACTGAGTTGGCAGGAATGCTCATAGCCACCGAATTTCTAATAAGTCAAGGCTCAGGGGTAATTTTCTGCGACTCACAGTGTGCTCTCCTGGCTTTGAACGCACTAGACAAAGGTGCAAGAAATATTGCAAATGACATAAGGATAAATGTGTATCGTGCAAAAGAACGAGGACATGATATACGTTTTGTGTGGGTACCATCGCATGTTGGAATCCCCAGGCATGATCATGCTGACCGCCTAGCAAAATCAGCATGTGACAAGCAAAGCGTGGATATAGATCTTGGAGTACCTCTTGCTAGGATTTCACACATATTTAAAACTTTCTTCAAAGAGGACTTGTCTGACTTGATTAATTCTCAACGGCCTGAAAGCTGTAGCATAAAGCACTATGACCGATTTATGCAAGATGTATTCATCTATGGTTTATGCAAAACAAGAACAAGACAGTGTGTGATATTGTGACTGGAAGAATCAGGCTGGAATATAGATTGTACTGGCAGGTCAGTACAGCCTGTAATGTTGAAGAAACTAAAAGCGTTTTAAGCAGGGGAGCGCTTGGCAAGAATTCTTGCCAAGCGCTGTACCGTTCCCTGCTTAAAACGCTTTCCAAGGCAGGCAGGCCCTCTTCAGTGATGCCAGACATGTGGAAATGTCTTTTATAAAGTACAAATCATAACAGTCCTTGATGAGCATAGAAATATCAAAATAACACACGAAATATACATACTTGGGTTTTAAAAGCAATATTCCCACCAACAATCTCGGAAAGAGATAACTTATGCACAAGTCGAGGGTGGAGTTTATTTCACTGCGGTTGGTAACAGTTTGAGCGCGCAATTCAAAACAACTGACAAGCTAGCGCCGCATCAAGATGGCAGAGAAGTAAATAAATCTACCCAAACATCTTAACAAAGCGCTATATTTTCTCCTATATTCATATAAAGTGCCTCTAAAACAATGACACACACTTCCGATTGACAGCCCTTTCATTCTGACGCGTTATCAAAACAAATGAATATCCCTGAATTAAAATATAGGCCTACCCATTCCCATATATCCGATTTTATGAGGTTAAATATAACAAATCATCGAATATAATATCAACAGAAGAATGTTGCTAGAATTTCTCAGACTTTTTCACTTGAAATATTCTTTATTTCATAAAATAGCAGATATATTCTCGATTTAGAAAGACGAGAAGTTTAACAATAAGAGGAAAATTTTTCGTCTTATAATCATTTATTATTCATAAGTAAAACTTTTTATTCCCATAATCTCCATTATCTCCTTTCGTTTTCAGTTAATTTCAATTTCTTTGAATATGATTTTAAGAAAATTACAGAATCAGATACCGTGAAAAAATTATTTATCTGATAAGATATTAAGCGGAGTTCCTGGCCAACGCCCGCATTCGAAGGATCGTGACCAGTACGGTACGCGACCGACGCCGTTGCCATGGTGACGGTACACCGCTTGACTTAGCAAGCGCAAGTCAAGCCATCTACGGAGGTCGCTTGAGAAAGCAAGCGAAATGCTTGAGTTAGCAAGAAAAACGCTTGAGATTTCAGGCAAGAACTTTCCCTGCTTAAAACGCTTTAAGTGTAAATTATGCAATGAAGAATATAAGCGAACACTTGTACATTATATCTCAGAGTGCCATGTAATACAGCCTTTCAGACCACCTAGCATGAGGTATGGAGAACTATGTAACTTCTTCTTATCATCTGACGTCTTGAAAGATATACTTATGTTGTATCCTAAATTTGGAATGTAGTATCACATGACCACATATCAAATGTTACATTGCCTTTCCACGCCCAAGCCGTATGCCGGCTTGATAGATGAGTAGATAAATAATTGATTGTTCTTTTCTTTTAAATGATCGACAGCTTGCCCACACCTGTGCAGTTAGCCAGGGTGGTAAATAAAGGACTAAACTGAAAAACCTTTGGTGAACCCAACCCACCTTTCGGTGAAACTCTACGGGAATTCACATGTCCCAAACCTCAAAAAAAACGTATTGACCAATAAACCAACCTAATCTAACAATTTAAGGGGACTGTCTGGTCTTTTTTCGGCGATTTTCGCCCATCTTGCCCTGAAAATTTCAAGACGAATATAGGGGAAAATCTAAGGCAAATCTGGTAACTGCAGACACTGATGCATGGAAAAACCTGAGCAGGTATATAATATCGTCAGAAATAAAGAAAATATATCACGACTATCCACGGCGATCGGATAGAGGTCCAGGGAGATGTGTGTGGACTCCCAGGAGTGGCTGAAGTCGTGCAGTTACTTCATAAATAATTTCCAGAATAATAATTGCAAGGTTGGATGGCTGTGTGAAACTGAAAAATCCCTCAATGGCTACTATCGAACTATAGTCTTCAATCGTATATAAATCATCGACTTTCAAGTGGATTTGGCTAGAACAGATAGCTGGGTTCTGTATCGAAAGTCACTATGGGTCAATCAAGATTATAATGCTACATTTATTAAAATTACACAATACATATAGTAAGGATATGAACCAACACGTAGATATAGGGAAATGGACGCCGCCATCTTATAGAGCTGTAGAAATAGAGTGGGATAGAACATGGCTTAAGCTGCAGCGGCCTCATATTTACCACTAAATGACAAACAACGCGCGCCGTTCAAATTCTAAGTTGATCATCTTGTTTTCCTTGCCAAGAAAAACAACACTGACCGCTTAAAAAGTAATTCACGTGTTACTATGCCCTTTTCGAAATGATATTTGGCTAATTATTAGTATATGCTGTTACACATTTATGCTCTTAAAGTCTTTCATTATTATTATTATATTTCATTTACGTGTTTTTAAATTGATTTACAGCCTTATTTAGAATCGTGTGCATCGAGCGTTTCACACTTCCTTTCGCTAGTCGCCAGATTGACAGCTCATTGGCCCGCTCATTTTGAGGTGGAACGGCAGTAAAAAATGTTGCGTTTCCAGTGTTGTGTTGATTCTTGGTTATTATTACTATACAGTGGCAAAGAAGATAAATTAGACTTCAGTAATGATCCCAGTGACCTGGGTCCATCAAGAGCTCCAAATGCCGAAAGAAGTGATTAAAATCGAAGTAATCCAGGCGGTAGAAAAAACTGAACAAAAGTTGGTGTTTCCAGATATAAAGGTATTTGGTTTATTATTTTACGGTGTGAATGCAGGTCTATCTTGCCATACATACCGAGGTGAAAAGAATGTGTCCCGGGGGGGTAGTTGGGGGTGGAGCCATGTCATGGCAACTTAAATTGTTATATTACGCTGTTTTATTGGTAAATACGTTTTTTGAGGGGTTTGGAACGTGTGAATTCCCATAGTTTTGCTGAAAGGTGGGTTGGGTTCCCGTAGAGTGTTTGAATTCTGGTGCATCAGTCCGTAGAATTTCAAAGACGGCGGTAACGTCCGTAGAGTTTCATTGGACGATTATAAGCATTTTTTGTGCTAGTTTTACTCATTTTTTATCGCTATTCTTCTTATTTAAGCCTGTTTTACCCATTATTGCCCTGATATACTTCTTGCGCTCCCCTGCTAACGGGACTATCGTATCAAGATCGTCGATGAAGATATGGTACTTGATATCCTGAACTATTCATTCGCAGAAGAAAACTCAAGGATCCATAAGATCACTGCATTTTCAGCAGAAACAACATCATTTTTTCTCGATCTCTGGGAGGGTGTGTCGTTCTCTGTAACAAATACCATGTGTAACAGCATCCACTGATAATTAGCCAAATATCGTTTTGACAAGCGCAGAGTAACACATATAGTAACACATGAACTACTTCGGACATCGCAGTAATGAGTTAGGCGGTCTGCGCTGTTATTCCTGGAAAGGTAAACAAGATGCGGGACAGAATCTGAGCGGCGACTGCACGTTATATTTTCGTTATTTAGCGGTGACTATGAGGCGGCTGCAGCTTAAACTATGTTCTATCCTACTTTATTTCTTCCGCTCTATAACATGGCGGTGTCCATTTCCCTCTATCTACGCGCGTCGGTCTCTTTAACTTGTACATGATGACAAAGTTATTCATATACAAATATCCTGACAACAATACCAAAAGCCCTGCTTCTCTCACTACATTTATTATTACAATCCACATTCCCTATATTCCAAATTGCTAATACTCAATACTCACTTTCTTGACTCATTATACACAGTATCATCATCGCTCAGACTTGAACAGGCGATCCTAGGGCATTCAGGTTCTTCATTGTGGAAAAGTTTGTCCCAAGGAAAAACGACAATCTTATCCATGACAACGACACTTCTCCAGGGTCCAGCCAAACACAATGTAAATACAAGACTAGGTCACTGGGGGAAAACAAGAACTACCACTCCAGCTTCCTGACACAAGAGGTTTCTAAAGAGGGACTGTTCAGGGTTAGAACTGGCTCGTTAAACTGTTTGTTGTTCTGTGGATCCAGTATTTATATCCTAGGTTGGTCAAGATCATATTTTTTTATCATCGGGTGTTTATTTTCTTTGCGAGATTCTCTGTTTCGATTGAGATTTGCAGAGTGTGTGTGATGTATCTCAAATGTGATTAAGGAAAATTGCAATTCGTCTTCAGTTGGAAGCTTGTATCACAGACACGCACGTACAAACATACATACGTATGTGTTTAAATAAATATGTGTATATGCTTATATATTTTTTGCAAGCATATAATATATGCATTATATATTTACTCATTTCTTTACACATAAATAAAAGTATACGCATATATACGTGTGTGAGAAAGAGAGAGAGAGAGAGAGAGAGAGAGAGAGAGAGAGAGAGAGAGTGTGTGTGTGTGTGTGTGTGTGTGTGTGTGTGTGTGTGTGTGTGTGTGTGTGTGTGTGTGTGTGAGTGAGTGCAGTGCAAGACTAAAGAGTAAGAGAGGGCGAGAGGGCCGGGGAAGAGGAACAGACAGAGGCAACACACACACACACACACACACACACACAACACACCACACACACACACAC